TTAGAAGCAGAGAAGTGTTTAAGGCTCCCCCTAAACAATAACCATGATGGATAGCTGATCCTGCTGGAGTCCACACAGAGAAAGCCAGGGGAGCCTTGAGATGTATTAACAAACACCTGATTATGGCAGATACTGAATTAAAGATTGCAGATGGTAGAGACGCTCCACGTAAGCTTTAGCCTCGCTATTTTTTTTAAAGATATGAACAAACATTCTTGTCATTCTAATGAGATTGCCAACATAGTGTCCATTTCCTATACTTTTTTCTTGTAAAATCTGACTCTCCCGGGCGCCTGGGTGGCTCAGTTGGTTAAGCGACTGCCTTCAGCTCAGGTCATGATCCTGGAGTCCCTGGATCGAGTCCCGCATCAGGCTCCCTGCTCAGCAGGGAGTCTGCTTCTCCCTCTGACCCTCCCCCCTCTCATGTGCTCTCTCTCATTCTCTCTCTCTCAAATAAATAAATAAAAAATCTTTAAAAAGAAAAAATCTGACTCTCCCCTGAGGGCTGGTGACTACTTATTTATTGTTCATGAAGAACAGAAGTAAGATTTTCAGCTACACATGGAGGATGCTATGGGTATTTTTACAGGGCATTGGAGCTGTCAGAAACTGTCCTAACCCTCCCTGGAGAAGCAGAGTTCTGGATGATCGCCCCTTGCCCCTCCTGCTAGGGGTGGCCATGGCGTATTCATAGACCACAGCAGGAGAGCACCACCCACTCACCTGGGAAATCAGGCCATGTACCCTGTCTGCCTCTCTCTGAAATCTGAACATCTTTTTAAGTAGGTCTGTGGCAATCCATCACCCTGGGTTCAAGAATCGGACTCATATATTTAGACTTACACATTTAGGATAGTAAGCTACAAATTTCCTCTGTGTCTGCATTTTGTTCAGTGGCTTCTTTCTCAAGTCTGCAAATGGAGGGTGCTGGAAGCTCTGATTATCAGGAAAGATTGTGTCTATTAGCAGCTTGATCAGACAGAGGTGTTTAGCAGGCACTTAACAAGCATTTGCTGAATTAAATTGTTGACTATAGTTTAAAACAAAATACAGAGACAGAGGTAAATTGTCCAGAGATGATTATATGCCACGTGTGCACTCTTTGACAGTTTGTTATGTGGATAAATTTGCTCCATAGACAATTTGGATGGTGAGGTTTATGGTTACAGAAACTCAGATAAATTAATTCCTCTTTGCTGGAATACGTAAGAGTCTTTCAAGCTCTACTAGAATAGGAGTGGGCAATCTGAGGTTAAAAATAATAAATATATTCATTTTCTAGTCTCGAGGAAGACACTGAAAGCCTTTGATATTTCTATATTAGATAAGGGGAAAATCTCTTTATATTTCTGAATTTGAGTTTGTGCTACAAAGGAAATCTATTTGATAGCCATTCATGAGTTCTCCCCTTTTATCCTTGTCCCCTTGGTCCTTTGTTAGAGACTCTGGAGTTCTGTGTTTCAATTCAGATGATTGCAGTATGGAGTAGACTTATGCAAAGACCTAAGGGTAGGGCTGAGAGCTACTATGAAGTGAACAGGAAAGTGTCTGGCTCACTGCTTTATCCCCAGTGCCTTGTACAGTGTCTGGCAAGTAGACACTCAATATCTGTGGAATGGATGAATACATGAAAGTGTCTCACCTGCTGAGTATCTATTTGTTTAAAGTCTCTCACCAAGTATATGTGAACAGAAATAGGTAAAAGGAGAGGATGACTTCTCCTTCCTTTTTTCTTGAATTCCACCCCAAAGAGACATGCCTCTACCCAAACCCCCATTCCAAAGAATGGCCATTCTGTAGACTCAGTCCTCTGTGTGTTAGTCTCACCCGGGTCTGCATAATTTCTTGCTTTGCTGGGCTACAGGGCATGGAAGAACTAATTGCTTCACATTCAATGTTTCTGCAGTAAATCTCTTCATTGAAAGAGAAAGTCTGTTTTGTTGCTATGAATAATAACTATTGTTAACTTCGGTTATTCCTTCTTCCTCCTTCCTAGAACATTGTTTAGGGGACTTTTCTAGCTGTTTCAACATCTGTCCTGAGGGCGGAACCATCTATTTAGCTGCATCTAATACATCGAATCCAAGCCAGTTTTTTCTCTTTGTTGAAACTCTTTTAAGTTGGAACCACAGTCTGACATTATAACAAAAGTGCTCTCTGAAGGAGACAGCTAGAAATGACTGAATTATTTATTTTTATTAGAAGAACAAATGGAGTAGATTGTGCTGGATGACTTAATAGGAATGAGATTCCTGGAGGCTAATAGAGCAGTGGGAGCTCCAGACCTGCTCACCAGCCCCCCCTTCTGTTTCAGTCACAGCACTTATCATGTTAACTCTTTTAGGTTTGGGGATCCCATGTAATATGTTATTGGAGACGAGCATGGATGTAAATAAAGTTAAAAACTACTATTAAAGAGGAATGACCATGGGATTTGCTCTTTTTTTTGTTGTTTTTATTTAAATTCCAGTTAGTTAGCATACAGTGTAATATTAGTTTCAGGCATACAATATAGTGATTCAACACGTCCATGCAACACCTGATGCTCATCACAACAAGTGCACTCCTTCATCCCCATCACGTATTTAAATTTGTTCCATCACCCCCCGCCTCCCCTCTGATAACTGTGTTTGTTCTGTATAGTTACGAGTCTCTTTCTTGGTTTGCCTCTCTCTCTCTTTTTTTCCCCCAATGATCATTTGTTTTGTTTCTTAAATTCCATATATGAGTGAAATCATACTGTTTTTGTCTTTCTCTGACTTATTTCACTTAGCATAATATTCTCTAGCTCCATCCACGTCCTTGCAAATGGCAAGATTTCATTCTTTTAGATGGCTGAGTAATATTCCATTACATATATCTGCCACATCTTCTTTATCCATTCAAGTATCAAGGGACACTTGGGCTGTTTCTGTAGTTTGACAATATTTGGGACATACCTATACAAAAATTTATTTGTAGTCTATCTGAAATTCAAATTAACCGGGCATGTCATATTTTTAATTGCAAAATTTGATAACCCTATTCGACTTGGAACCCAGACCTACTTATAATCTAGCACTAATGGGTGAAGTCCTGGACTCAGGGGTCCTGCAGGTCCTTTCTCTAGGGCCTAGGCCAGCCCAACATCTGTTCTGACAAGTCAGGGCTCTTGCTGTACAAGTCATTATATATTTTTGATATAAACCTCTAGCATAGCTCTAGTGAATGTCAAGGGCCTATCTTTATCATATTTTTCTAAAATTTGACAAGAACACCATTATTTACTAATTCTCCTATAATTTGCTTTAAACTCCCTTCATTTCCTATCCTGAGAGCTACTAAAAGTAGCTCCTTTTCCTATGAAGGAATTTCTTCATTTCCTAAAGAAGGGGCTTTTCTAAAGACTTTTTAATATTATGTAAGATTATAAATTCACTATACCATGTTTTGGTCAATTCTTGCACAAAGGAATGACAAAAACCCACCTACACAGTAACTAGATTGCTGTACATGCTCAATCTAACTTTTTGTGACAGTTTTGAATCTATAATCTCGATAAAGTTCCTTGTTTGTTTCATTCAGCTTGCCAGTCACTACTTTCCATCAAAGTGCTGCTAAAAATGAGATATTACATGTATTTTGCCATCTTGCTATAAGAGCTAAGTCAAACTGTAATTTCAAGTGAACTTTGCTATATAGAGAAAATGTGTATCTGAAAAGGAGTCTGGGAACATACAAATTTTCAGGCAATCATGCCCTTAATGTTTGTTCCCCAAAGTGCATTCCTTAAGGTACTAATTGTGAGAGAATTATAGTTGTTTCCTGGGGAAAGGGTTATCATAGCTGTATGTCCTGGGAAAATGGTGGGTTAAAACTAATTAATCAGGTTTCTTTTCATTTGGGTGCTTTGGAGACTTTAGTATGTGCAGTTGTGAGTCTCTAGAGAACAGCCATACATATGTGTATATAAAATATGTTTGTCTGAGTGTGTTTCTGTGGGTGTGTATAGATTCATATTTCCCAATCTTATTTTAACAATTATTCTCTTCACAAAGCCAAGCTTTCAAACATTGCTGCAGACTCCTATTTTGCAAGTCAGAAGCTTGGTCTTAATTCACTTTTCTTTCTGTATTCATTCTGTAATGACTCCGTCCTAATCTCTCCACAGCTGATGGATACCACTGGTGGACTCCAGCAAAGGATATGTGCTCAAAGAAGCAAATAGAAATGTGTGTGAATAATTTTCAAAATATTATCCTCAACATACCGCATAGTTATTTTTATTCTAGTAGGAGGGTATTCTATCTTTACTTGAGGTAGAACGGCAGATAGCCATTGTGGGAAGTTTTATGGACTTAGATAAATGTCTTAAGATTTCAATGCCTATTTCCTTAAGTATAAAATGAGGGTAAAGATGCCTGAATTATCTGTTTTGCAATAGAAGGTGTCTGTATGTGTAAAGGATGGGGTAAGGAAAGATTCTACACAATAAGGCATTTGAGAGTGCTTTTCAAAAAACAAAGCATTATTCAAATGTGCAATACAACAACAAATCTTCAGCTGGTAGTGGCTTCTCCATTCTTCAGCTTTTAGTTTTCTGATTTTCCAGACTCACTATTAGTGATACTCTTCTATAAACAAAGATATAAAACTGTTAAGAGATACTAAAGGGAAAGCTACAGTACTTTCCCCTAATGCGAAGAACCATTTCCTGCATTGCTTGGTTTGTAAATATGTGTTTTCATATGATAGATTCCCTGGGATATGGACCCTTTGACCTAAAATGTACCAGCCTTCACAAACCAAGGTTGTGCTATTGACGGCCGTCAATGGGATAATAAGGGAAACTTCAGCGAGCTTTCCCCTTGGGTCTAATGTGCATAAATGGTCGGTGATTTCAAGTCCACGGCCATATTATGCCAGTATTATTTTACAACCATCCACAATACAGAATGACAGGAAGGCTGATTGAGTTGTTCATGCTAACGCATTTTCTGTCCTCTCCTGTCCCTCTACAGAGAGTGCAGCATCCACATGAGTGTCCCTCCTGTGGAGGCTTTGGCTTTCTTCCGTGCTCCGTCTGCCACGGGAGCAAGATGTCAGTGTTTCGAAACTGCTTTACAGACTCTTTCAAAGCTTTGAAGTGTACGGCCTGCAATGAGAATGGTCTTCAGCGCTGTAAGAGCTGTGCTGGTTAGGTGGACCTCCCACCCGGGGAGCACCTTGTTTTATTTACCAAAGTCAGTTGTATGGTTTATACTTTTTTTTTTTTTTAAAGGTCATGTTTATGGACTAATCAATAAACCTTGTTTATTGTAATTGCCTTTGTTTTGAATTTTTGCTGTGGCCGTTTTCATTGATTTATTAAATAAATGTGTGTTTCACAACGATGTGCCATGCCCTGTGCTAGACCCTGGTTCCTACTTGAAATTAATGGAGTGCCCAGGAGCATTCCAGGATATCCAAACTCTGATTTGTTAAATGTGTTTGGTTTCCTGAAGAGAAGACAAAATATGTCTAATGATGCCTATTGCAGTGTCACCCTCTTGTCTAGAATGAGTTAATCCAACTCCCGAGATGCATAACGCATTTCTGTGTATCTCTGCTACAGAGAGAAAGAGAGCTCTGGATAGTGGAAAAGAATATGATCATATTTATACTTAGTAGAATTTTTTAAAGCTGTAAAACAGTCTCGGAGCTCATGACATGAATGATAAATCATTCATGTTATCAGGTGGATTTCTTGGTGATGACATATATAAAAGCCACCAGAAGACTTATCTGGACTTAGTTTTTTAAATATTTGCTTTGTGCTATTGATGTTGAACACCCTCCAAAAAGGTGCTATTGTGCTTCTGAGCCGGACATAGTTTGAACACACAGTCAATGTTAGCAAAGTGGACAAAAAGAAATTTTGTTATAATTATTGGTTGATGCCTACTTGTACATGCATCTGTATCCTGATGGATTCCGTTATGAATGACTTTAATAAATCACTTGCGCAATCTTTGTGAAAAGGTAATCAAAACATTTTACACTGTGGCGTTGTAGAAAGCTATAATCTTTACCGAGTACTTTCTTATCGGTGAGGCTTAGTATAAAGTACGGTTTCTATTCTCAAGCGGCTCACACTCTAAGAAGGAAGAAAGTGTTCAATAAATATAGGCAAGGTGAGTCTTATACCACAAATGGTACACTGTGCTACGGGAATTATAGCAGCAGAACCAACCTGTATGCATTAGAAAGGGTAAGAAAAGGGGCGCCTGGGTGGCTCAGTCGGTTAGGCGACTGCCTTCGGCTCAGGTCACGATCCTGGAGTCCCGGGATCGAGTCCCGCATCGGGCTCCCTGCTCAGCAGGGGGTCTGCTTCTCCCTCTGACCCTCCTCCCTCTCATGCTCTCTGTCTCTCATTCTCTCTCTCGCAAATAAATAAAATCTTAAAAAAAAAAAAAGAAAACAAGTTGGGGCGCCTGGGTGGCTCAGTCGGTTAAGCGACTGCCTTAGGCTCAGGTCATGATCCTGGAGTCCCGGGATCGAGTCCCGCATCGGGCTCCCTGCTCAGCAGGGAGCCTGCTTCTCCCTCTCCCTCTGCCTGTTGCTCTGCCCACTTGTGCTGTCTCTCTGTCAAATAAATAAATAAAATCTTAAAAAAACAACAAAAAACCAAAAAAAAAAAATGGTAAGAAAAAACTTTGTGGAGCAACCGATGTTTCAACTCTTGCATGAAGGATTATTGGAAACAAGGTAGCCACGGAGCAAGGGTGACTGTGCTCCAGGTAAAGGAATAGCGGCTGTGGAGACCCAGAGGTCAGAGAAAAGTTGTGTGTTTGAGGAACTGTAAGAAATCCAATATGGGGAGTGACAATCAGTGAGAGTGGAATGGTTTATAGCAGGCTAAGCCTCCTACTCATAGCACATTTATTTTGAACAAAATAATGAAAAATAAAAACTGTCAAAGGCATTGGAAAACGACTACAACCAGAAAGGAACTGGAAGGGATTCAGTCACTGGAAGAAGGGAAACAAACAAATGAATCTACATTTATCCTGCTTATCCTCTGAAAACACTTCCCAGTTTGCACAGAATTTAGCCAAAACAGCTGCTCATCTTGCAAAGTCAGAGTTTGGAGTTCAAGTGGTAAACACAATGTTTCCTTGAAATCCCAGAAAATCCCCATATTTAGAGTTAAGACCAAGGATTAAGGGCTATATTGTAAAGAAAAGGGAAAAAAACAAAACACCTAGCCTTTAGAAGACCAAAAACAAAGCTTCCATGGTATCGTGGTATCTTTGGCTGCTTGCTAGAGCAAACCTCAGCACCTGAACTAGAAATAGAAGGAATTTGGGTGCCTGGGTGGCTCAGATGGTTAAGCGTCTGCCTTCGGCTCAGGTCATGATCCCAGGGTCCTGGGATCGAGTCCCGCATCGGGCTTCCTGCTCAGCGGGGAGCCTGCTTCTCCCTCTGCCTCTCTCTCTCTCTGTCTCTTATGAATAAATAAATAAAATCTTAAAAAAAAAAAAAAGAAATAGAAGGAATTCATTGAGTATGAAAATCTATAGCTCACATTACACTTAATGGTAAAAATATTAAATACTTTTCCCCTAAGATTAAGAAGAGTACATAAATGTCTACTTTTATCACTACTATTCAATATTATGATGAAGGTCCTATCCAGTGAAACAGACAAGAAAACAAAAAGTCATAAAGATTGGGAAAAAATAAGGCTCATTCTTTGTAAACAATATGATTGGCATGTAAAAAATCCAAAGAAATCTACAAATTACTGAACTTCAAAGTGAAGTTAAAAATTGTTAGAGTTGAAGTCATTTTATAAAAATTAGAAATACAATACACAAGTAACAAATAATTAGAATATAAAATTAAAATAATACAATTTATAATGCTATCAGCCATCTTTAAGTATATGGAATACATTTTACAAAATATGTGTAAGATTTCTACATTTAAAACTACAATAAATTTTATTTTTTTAAATTTTATTATGTTATGTTAGTCACCATACAATACATCATTGGTTTTTGATGTGGTGATCCATGATCCATTGTTTTCGTATAACACCCAGTGCTCCATGCATACGTGCCCTCCTTCATACCCATCACCAGTCTAACCAATCCTCCCTCCCCCTCCCCTCTAAAACCCTGTTTGTTTCTCAGAGTCCATAGTCTCTCATGGTCCATCTCTCCCTCCAATTCCCCTCCCCCATTTTTCCCTTCCTTCTCCTAATGTCCTCCATGCTATTCCCTCTGTTCCACAAATAAGTGAAACCATGTGATAATTGACTTTCTCTGCTTGATTTATTTCACTTAGCATAATCTCCTCCAGTCCCATCCATGTTGATGTAAAAGTTGGTTCAACATTCGCAAATCAATCAATGTGATAAAACACATTAATAAGAGGAGAGAGAAGAACTATATGGTCCTATCAATTGATGCATAAAAAGCATTTGACAAAATACAACATCCTTTCCTGATTAAAACTCTCCAGAGTATAGGGATAGAGGGAACATTCCTCAAGTTCATAAAATCCATCTATGAAAAACCCACAACGAATATCATCCTCAATGGGGAAAAGCTGAGAGCCTTTCCCTTAAGATCAGGAACACGTCAAGGATGCCCACTCTCGCCACTATTGTTCAACATAGTACTAGAAGTCCTAGCAACAGCAATCAGACAACAAAAAGAAATAAAAGGTATTCAAATTGGCAAAGAAGAAGTCAAAATCTCTCTTTTCGCAGACGACATGATACTTTATGTGGAAAACCCAAAAGGCTCCACCCCCAAATTACTAGAACTCATCCAGCAATTCAGTAATGTGGCAGGATACAAAATCAATGCACAGAAATCAGTTGCTTTCTTATACACTAACAATGCAACTGTAGAAAGAGAAATTAGAGAAACGATTCCATTTACAATAGCACCAAAAACCATAAGATACCTCAGAATAAATCTAACCAAAGAGGTAAAGGATCTATACTCTAGGAACTACAGAACACTCATGAAAGAAATTGAAGAAGACACAAAAAGATGGAAAAATATTCCATGCTCATGGATTGGAAGAATAAACATTGTTAAAATGTCTATGCTGCCCAGAGCAATCTATACCTTCAATGCCATCCTGATCAAAATTCCAATGACATTTTTCAAAGTGCTGGAACAAACAATCCTAAAATTTGTGTGGAATCAGAAAAGACCCCGAAAAGCCAAGGAAATGTTGAAAAAGAAAAACAAAGCTGGGGGGCATCACGTTGCCCGATTTCAAGCTATATTACAAAGCTGTGATCACCAAGACAGCATGGTACTGGCACAAAAACAGACATATAGACCAATGGAACAGAATAGAGAGCCCAGATATGGACCCTCAACTCTATGGTCAAATAATCTTCGACAAAGCAGGAAAAAACATGCAATGGAAAAAAGACAGTCTCTTCAATAAATGGTGCTGGGAAAATTGGACAGCCACATGAAGAAGAATGAAACTCGACCATTCTCTAACACCATTCACAAAGATATACTCAAAGTGGATGAAAGGCCTCAATGTGAGACAGGAATCCATCAAAATCCTAGAGGAGAACATAGGCAGTAACCTCTTTGACATCGGCCACAGCAACTTCTTTCAAGATACATCTCCAGTGGCTAGTGAAACAAAACCAAAAATGAACTTTTGGGACTTCATCAAGATAAAAAGCTTCTGCACAGCAAAGAAAACAGTCAACAAAACAAAGAGGCAACCCACAGATTGGGAGAAGATATTTGCAAATGACACTACAGATAAAGGGCTGGTATCCAAGATCTATAAAGAACTTCTCAAACTCAACACCCAAAAAACAAATAAGTCAAAAAGTGGGCAGAAGATATGAACAGACACTTCTCTGAAGAAGACATACAAATGGCTAACAGACACATGAAAAAGTGTTCATCATCATTAGCCATCATGGAAATCCAAATCAAAAGCACATTGAGATACCACCTTACACCAGTTAGAATGGCAAAAATGGATAGGGAAAGAAACAACAAATGTTGGAGAGGTTGTGGAGAAATGGGAACCCTCTTACACTGTTGGTGGAAATGCAAGTTGGTACAGCCACTTTGAAAAACAGTGTGGAGGTTCCTCAAAAATTTAAAAATAGAGCTACCCT